TCATCCATATCCAATGTCCGAAATGTCCAATTTTTCCATTCAGAATTCAATTCGCAAACAAAATAAATTGACTAACTGACAGCACTTGAAAATTATGATTTTTTAATTGTCACAAGTTGGATAAAAAAAAAGGGTAGATAAGATCTGGCATCGAAAATTTTCGCAACAACGAATGAGAACGGGCGTGAGGTGAAGTGTTGGGCCAGTGTTTTGCCCCACAGATTGCCAACTCATTATGCAACACATCAACATTCACGCAATTCAGGTTCAATCGCACGAGTTCTATCATGGGAAACGATAGTACGTAACACCGTCACTCTCGCAGCAAGTATTGCAAACAATGTTGCCTATAACGAATCATTAAAAAGATAGCACAAGCATCGTCCAAGCAAGCCGGCAGAGTGTGAGGGTGTGACATTATTCCTTTTCCACCGTAATTGATAAGCCAAATCGAGGCGAATAAAATGTAATTATGCGACATAAGTCACCAGTGAACTGGAACTCAATAAAAAAAAATAAAAAAAAACCCCCGCAACTGGTATCAAATCGATGGCCTCATTATATTTATATTGTTCCCCAAGCCAATCAACCTTCTCGGGTTGATGAATGGTATCAACAAGTGTGGATAATGCACGTGCGAGTGTGACTAATATATTATTTTGAAATAGCGCTAAACAATCAATTTATCCAATAAAATGCTGCTAATGAGTAACCAGTTGCTTGCGTAAACTTATATCGCTTTTTAAACAAGAACAAATGATAAGTAAATAACATCACACCAGGAGATATCGAACGGTAAAGCACCAACAGATACGGAGAAATCGATTGGCCGAGTGTTGTTGCAGCGATTGTCGTAAATTATTCAAGAAGGTGATTTTTTAATACGAAGGACAATGACGAGGCCCCAACAAATGCGTTTAACATGCTAGTTAACTTGCCTTTTAACGTCTACTTAATAACAACGTAGAATTTGTAATTAATATAACTGTCGATGATGCAATAGCGTTGATATTTTCACGATTCAATTGACCCCATGGCAAGTCGTAAATTACATCCGATGAATGCTGCCTTTTCAGATTTTTTTTTATCGATATCAATTGAATTATTATTTATGCCGGGTCTTATCTCAGGATGAGTGAATGGAGGTGAATAATGCAGGAGGTACCCCTGTGGTCCCCAGCTGTGTCTCAATAAGATCCAATTATCTGCAATAAATGCCGCAAAAATGGGGGAAAATTACCGTCGGTTATTAAATCGCAATGAATAACAAACGAGGCGAGTGTTAAAGGTCTTAAAATATTGATAATCAGCTTTGTGATGAATTTCTGAAGCGCCTGATTGGAGGTGAAGCTGAGCACTCAGAACTAGTTGAAAAATTCACACGCAGTTACGTAAATATTAAAAAAAAATCCTAACAGTGTTATCCTCAACCGAGGTAGCAGTTTCCATAATTAAGATGTGTAGATTCATCATTCATCATCATTTGATGAAAAACCTCAACTCCGAAGGATGAGAAATTCTGATGATAAAGAATTTATTATTCACCCACACACCCGCACAATTATCTCCATTTTAATAATCTCCATCTATTCCTCGATTTCATGACTTACAAATAATCCAGTATTCATGAGATACTGGTGTCGTAATAAGTAATAACGTTACTTACGGTGTTAGAGTCACTGCATGATTGCCCCGTTAACGGATCTCCCGTTGCTGTTCCATCCGAATGTATCGCCTGGAGGATACCTCCAGCATTCCAGTGGATCTTCGGACGATCGTATCATTCCCCGTGTTTAGTTTAATTAGTTAATGACACGATTAATTTCACGACTCCCGCGACGAGCGAATGCTGTACGAAAAATTACGCGACAGCACGCGCAATTGGCAGGAGATAAATCTGATTTCTAATATTTTTTACGAAGATTTAATAAAAATTATAGAAAATTTTGTAGGACATTCGCTCTATATTATTGATTTGACTATTTTTCAAGCTTCTTTTTTTCTTTTTAATTCGTCTGTCGGGGAGAATATAGAATATAGAATGATTGAAGATGTATCGTTGTAAGGTTTTATTGCGCAATGCGTTGGTCGGGGCAATTGTCGCCGGCTATTTCGGTTCGGATAATCCTCTTTCTGGTTTTATGCTCCTTTTTCAACGAGGGACTTCCGCTGGGGCAATGTGACTCTCTCTCCACGTTCATTCAACCGGTGCTTCGACGATAAACCGGGTGTCGAGACACGTGAAATCACTTGAATCCACACGTGCCAAAAGACGTAAAACGGGTGGCTGATGAGTTCAGGGGGTGAGGGGATTCTTCAGGGGAATAATTGAGTGTCACGTTTGCAGGGTGATGTAAGGGATGATTGTTCTGACTTTGTGACGCAGGTGAAAATATCTACGTGCAATTCCCTTCTGGTTTAATTCTTCAATCCAATAAATTTTAATTGTCAGTGATAATTAATTCTCTATTTAAAAAAAAATTGAAATCGAGGGATTTCTCAAATTCTTCGAATTTCATTTTGGGACTATTTTTCGAATCGGAATTTATCCGTCGGATTTATTCAATCGCGGATGTCGACTACAGAGGGGTCACCGCCATCTTTCGGAAATTTCATCTACCCGCTCAAAGTACCACCCTCTGGTAATCGAAAATAAAATGCAGATAAACTGATAATTGAGGGACTAAAAAAAAATTATGAAGGGTTGATCTTTCGACAGCCAGTACTCATTGCAAAATTAGGGCGAAAATGAAGTTTTCCAGATTTTTTCTAAACCATCTCAATTTCACTGATCCGATTCTCCAAAATTTGGAAAATCCCTTCAGAATTAGTCAGGGGAGTTCAACATTTCAATTTACTGTCCAAAATTTTTGTAAACATGAGACTCTCAATGAGACCCTGCAATCGATTTACAACGGAGTGAGCGAAAGTCGAGAGTAAAGACAAATCAATGCCTGAAAATCGTTAAATCACTCTCACTGCCCCCGTAATGATTGTCCTCCCATGAACCCAAGACATGTACCTGTAGGAGTAAAAAGGGGTCGTACCTCCCCCGCAGGTGAAAACAATCGCGCAGACGCGTTGACCGATGTCCAGTTTATTTGGTAAAAATTCAACAGCCGCACCAGAAGTACAACCCCATAATTTACGCTCCACACTCCATAAGCTGCCTCGGTAATTAGATCATATCCTAAGTGAATCACCCAACAGCTAAAAAATTAATCAGGTGAGTATTAATTTTCAAACAATTTCCAAACGACTGTCCAGCCCGTATTATTATCTAACAGATAAAAATCCTCGATCGATTATCGATTCCCTCCGCTTCCCCGCATATTCATTCCGTTCCATATTCATATTCAAATCGCAGTTTCTTCTTCGCTATTTTTCGGATTTATTACATCAGAAGAGCGGCCTTAGCATTCAAACTTATAAGTAGCCACTTGATCCTTGAAACAGCACTATCCACATTACTATTTCATGTAATCAATCAATGAACGCTTCCCCGGTCGGCTTGAATGAGTATCTGTCATTGGTAGACCAGTTCGAATCATCACTTACTGCCACGTGAATCGTCCGCACTTTAAATTCCAAATAGATGTTTTATATTCAATTTATCCCTCGAAAATTATCCGACAAATCGAAATGTGTTATCGACTCACAGACTGGTGGTACGACATTGAGTGCCCGATGATGGAAAAACCGTCTTCTTCTATCAACAGCCCAGTGGATCTCGAGGACAGGGATCCCAATGGACTCAATGAGCATCTCCAGGTTGTCACTGAATATTTTTTATTCGTTAACAATTACTCATGCCAGTCAATTGACTTAGCAAATCCATGGAGAGAGCTTAATGGAAAATTTTATTCAATAGGTCATGTGGGAGGACGTAATCGGGGAACCCGACGGCATCAGGAGTCCAGAATGCGCCTGGAGACTCAGTGGACACTGTTTTCGATTATCCAGAGGCTGTTGCTATATCTTTTTATCTGTTATCATAGCTCCATTTGTTGCACTCGTTTTGGGATTCACATTCGCATGCCTTTCGTTTCAAGTGAGTGAAAATGCCCCAGAAAAATTGTAGTGCTAGTAGGAAAAAGAGTCATCAGTTAAAATTCTAAATAATTTTGAAATTATATAAATTTATTTGGTTAAGGTAAAATATTATCGATAGGAAAGACAATTTGATGGCGATAATAATGCAATACAATTGCGATAATAATTCCAATAATCGTGCAATCAATATTGGTAATGATATTTTCTTTTTTAGCACATCTGGTGTATAGCCCCATGTCTTCGAGTGTGGAAAATATCGTGTGCTGCGACGAGGACGTTTTTCACTGGTTTTACTCATGCTCTAGTGCGTCCTTGCGCAGAATCCATCGGCTACTTGTTCCATAATATTCGAATACACAATCAAAGACTGCCCGATGGTCCGCAACTCAAAGAAGATGCCTTAATCGTGTAATTGGATGAATAAAACCAAAAACTCTATGCTACTCCTAATGAAAATAAATGTGACGTTCTTTTCATAATGTCTTATCAGAAATTCTGTTTTATACGGTTTTTTTTTCATGGATTCCAGAATATTAAACAAGAACCAAGAAGTTTTCTCCGCGTGAATTCGGATCGATAGACATTTCCAGTTGAGTCACGCGATCGTAACTGAGATTGAAATGAGATCGATAGTCATGCACAGGTGGGATTTTTGAATTTCCAGCGGGAGATCCTCGCGTTTTTATAAATTATATTTTTTTATGATCCACGAAGAACGATAAAATGAGGGTGGTATAATTGGAATCTGAAATCATCAGCAACGATAAAAGATTCGAATCGATGCACGTATTTTTTTTCAAAAGCAGAGGTTTTAATGTTTGGAAAAATTGAATTGTGGAATTTTTCGGGAAATATTGACGGTCCCCCCCGTTTTACTTCCATTGCATATTTATCAGAATGCGAGGGTCACGGGGGCGACGTGATAAATACGGGACCATCGGAATCCATGAGTTTCTCTTGGACCCAGTGCCTGTGCAATCGTCCGAGTGATAACAACTGATCTGAGAGAATAAATATGGCGATGCGTGTGCACATAAGGCTTTTTAATACCACGAGGAACTGCCAATTTGAAACTGCTAGAGGTATCCTTTTGGAATTGTCTTCATCGAGGAGTTCAGACCATTCCCATTTTTCAAATTTTTAATTTTGAGTATTTTTTTTATGAGTTGTTCGTTTTTGTGGTGCAAATACATTTCGAATGTATTTTTTTCTTAATTAGAATTTCTCGGTAATTAATAGGACTCTCTGTATCGGCAACTCTAAAAAAGGCAAAAGGTGAGTTTACGGTTGCAGATGGCTATTTTAGTATTTATTAGAGTTCGTGTCAACTTGTTATCTAATCGGGAATTTTTATCTGTTGCCTGAGTGCGGTGGATTGAATTCCACTGGCCAAAGAGGATTGATCAATGTAGAGGCTCGGTTCTGGGGGTTTGAATGACCGGACAGGAATTGTAGTATCTCAACCCGAGAGAGAGAGGGCGGCACATGATTCCCTGATAAATTTTTGGAAATTTCGAATTTTTCCATTCCGGTGAATACCTCCTCGATTTTCATGCCCCCCTAATACTTTTCCAAAAATTTCGAATTTTTTAATTGCAGTGAATACTTCCTCGATTTTCATATCCTCCTGATACTTTTTCAAAAATTTTGAATTTTTCAATTTCAGTGAATACCTCCTCGATTTTCATATTTCCCTGATACTTTTTCAAAAATTTTGGATTTTTCAATTTCAGTGAATACCTCCTCGATTCTCATGCTCCCCTGATATTTTTTCGAAAATTTCGAATTTTCAAATTCCAGTGAATACCTCCTCGATTGTCATGCTCCCTGGATATTTTTTTGAAAATTTCGAATTTGTCAATTTCAGTGAATACCTCCTTGATTGTCATGCTCCCCTGATATTTTTTTGAAAATTTGGAATTTTTCAATATCAGTGAATACCTCCTCAAAAAATTACCACTGGCTTTTCACCGCAAAATCAGTACAAATTCCGTTGTTACCTAGTGCTGATCTCAATTTGAAATGCTTGAGAGAATATCCAGATGGTGGCGGGAGCATGTGCCTCTTGAATTTAAATTTGAACGCAAAGGGGAGTAAATAATATTTGTTCTGCCAGCTATATTAATATTTTAATATTTATTCCTAACTTTTATAAAAATATAAAAATTGTAATGGCACAGTGTCAATTGCACGTTTGTAATTGAAAATTACAACACACATTTCGCTGACCACAATTATTTATGAGAGAATCAATTATGAGGTACATTCGGTATTCAATTTATATTTCATATGGTAATTATTTTAATTTTTACATTTTATTTGCAGTTCTCTGGTGATCTTGCCTACAAAAATGAATTTTCAATATTTTCAATTAATCATAATGCCCCCATAATGAAAATATTTACCTGAATTTTCCCGGTGTTCACCAACTTTTATTAAATAATTGAAAATAAATTTGCAGCTTCTTCGGGTTTTTTCTAAACGTTCGCTAAGAAGTTTCAGTAGTGTGAACAGCTATCAGGGAGACGGACAGTAGATAAATCAGTAAATAAAAAAATAATGAATACATACCGAATGGTGATTGGCTTTGGATTGATTCCAGCATTATTCAATTGGCAAGATCCTTTCAACATCGAGTCCCAGTACACCCAGGACGAGATAATAATCCGCGATCAGTTTCGCTCGTACTGCCAGGAGAAGCTCCAGCCAAGAATTATCGATGCATTTAGAAATGAGAATTTTGATAAGGTCATAATAAAGGAACTGGGATCCCTCGGGGTACTATGTCCCACTCTGAAGGGATATGGGGCTGCAGGAGCTTCCTCCGTAGCTTACGGGCTCATTAATAAAGAGATTGAGTCTGTGGACAGCGGGTACAGGTCCACCTTCTCCGTGCAAAACCTCGCCGCCACTGCCATCGACTCTTGGGGCAATCAGGAGCAAAAGGATAAATATTTACCCAAACTTGGTAACTGCAAATTATTAATTTTGCAACTCTCCCACAACATCTCAAGCTCACAAAGCTGAAAAGTCCGCAATTTTCAGGAATCGCTTTCTAATTCCAACAGTTCCACTCGGAATCCTACGAATCCTTAAGTTAAAAAATTTTGTCACGACTTTTCGTGAAATATCTTCAAATCCAAAGGAGATAGCGAAATTTTTCTTAAAGTATCCTCCGGAGGGCGGAATGAGAGCAACAAAAAAGCTTTTTACTGAAATTTCGTTACCTCTATTCGATTCCGAGATATTCCTCGATATCTCGACTAACGAGTGAGTCACTTTAATACTTTTTATGTTTTCACTGTTTATGCATTCGCCCAATTTTTCCATGTTGGGATAAATATTTTCAGTTTCTGGGGATCTGATCGGTTGCTTTGGTCTCACTGAACCCAATCATGGCAGTGATCCTGCTGGAATAGAAACGAAAGCAATCTATGATGCCAGCAGAAAGGTCTACAAGCTCAGTGGTAGCAAGACCTGGTAAATCAATTCAACGAGACAAAATAAATGATTGTATCGTTGGGGATAACGTATTGGTATTGTTCTTCAGGATAACAAACGCCCCAGTAGCAGATTTACTAGTAATTTGGGCGAAAACCGACGATGGAACTATCCGAGGATTCATAACAGAGAGAAAGGGCAACGAGGGGACATTAAGTACACCTAAAATCGAGGGGAAAGTATCTTTAAGGGCCTCTGCTACTGGAATGATCCTAATGGACGATGTCATCGTCCCTGAAGTTAATTTACTCCCTAATGTTACTGGTCTCAAGGTAAATGATGCCATTTGAACATCAACTTTGGGAGTAAGAAACTGTCAAGCATTAAATTTTATGCGAATTCGGAGAATTCTATTATATGCAACTACCCCTACGACGCGCTCGCTGCGATCGTTAACGGATTTATTTCAGAGCAAATTATAACACAGACAATTTATTTATTGTTTAATTGTTTAATTTTAATTTCTCCACGGAGACCTCGTGAATTATTAATTCAGTATAAAAAAACATCTGCTGAGAGACCATGAGTCAATGATTGACATGCACTGAGATTGGATAAAATAAATAAATCATGAATGATTAATTATGAGTTCAGGGCCCATTCGCATGCCTGAATCACGCACGTTACGGAATAGCGTGGGGTGCTTTGGGTGCCGCTGAGGAGTGTCTGAGACTGGCCAACACCTACGTGTCAGAGCGTAAGCAGTTCAACAGACCATTGGCAGCTAATCAATTGATACAGAAGAAATTAGCTGACATGATGACGGAAATAGCCATCGGGCTGCAGGGATGCCTGCGCGTTGGCCGACTCAAGGACGAGGGCAAGTTAGTTATCGAGAGACGGAGAAAAATATTCAATGAACACTAAACCCTTCGTCAAGGACGATATTCAATCGTGCGTGTCACTGTTTCAGGGCTACACCAGAGATGATATCAATGATAAAAAGAAATTCAGCTGCCAAAGCCATCAACATCGCCCGAAATGCAAGGGATATGCTCGGGGGAAATGGAATTTCCGACGAGTACCACATCATCAGGCACATGGTTAATCTCGAATCAGTCATCACGTACGAAGGTAGAGTCTTAATTAATGAAATACTCCACAAAAATACCCAATCATTCGTTCCAAAAATACATGAATGATTAAAAAATGGACATGATGATTATTGGACGTCACATTTGGAAAAATTGGTAAAGCAATTTTCTTGTGCTCAAAAATATTTATACTGAGAGACAAAAGCTCTAATCGAATCATCATCCTGACGTAATTATCATAATTTCGACAATCACGAATTTTCAAATACTCATTTTCAACTGTGGATAAAAAAAAAGAATTAATTCTTCTGACGCAGGCACCGATGATATCCACGGTCTTATTCTCGGACGAGCTATTACTGGTATACCAGCGTTCTTCGGCTGATGTTAATGATTTATAAACGCCTCATCAGCCCCAGTTGTATTCTCATTTAATCACAACATCTGGCCAATGTTGAAACGAGTGAAAAAAATAAACACTGTCACTCCTGGATATTCACAAAATCATGTCCAACGTATTTTTAATCATAAATAAATTAAGTTTAATTCCTAAGTAATAAAGCATTAATTACATTCTCAATTTCTTTGTTTTGTCTTTTAGTCAATTACAACACACATCTCGTGCAAAAGTGTAAAGAGGTTCTCTTTTTTAATTTTTTTTTTCTTGTTAGTTCTTTTAGTGCTACACTCAAATATACCTTTACGACTTAAATTGTGTTTAATAATTCTTGACTACAATAAGCTCTTCGTAAAACGTAAGTAACATTTACAGTAGTTTACAATTGTTCACGTTGGGTGATCGTCGCAATGTGTCTATTACATAGGTACACATTATCATTTGTTAATCACTTTTCAATTTCCCAGTGCTGGAGTTGAATCTCAATTGAATTCACGGTACCAATGAGAGCCTCCTCCTCCATCAGATCGAAAAATATGTTTTTTTTATTTTACCCATCCCTCGCCCGGAATAATCAGGCGAATGCTCCCCATCTGCACGTGAATCCCTAAATTCTGAATAGTTTCTCAATTCACTAGAAAGCTTGATTCAACCCCAGCACTCACAATAGTTCGCCTGCGCCCAAAAATAAGGATCCACTTCTAGAAAATAAAAATGATAAAACGCATGAATAAATACCCCACCCTCTTCCCATTTGAACGAAACTTTGGTAATCCCATGGCATCTCGATATCCTCCGAAGAGATAAACAATAAAGAATAATCAACAAAATTATGATCATCTATTTATAAATCTACACTCGAGCTCATTGTGTCCCCCAAAACGGAATTTCCATCTGGAAATAATAGAAAAGTTCTCAATCATTCCCTGCATCCCCACCCTTTTTGTCCGTACGATGATTCTCGTCATATAATAAATATAATAATGTATACTCAGTTTGCATTTGTATTTTACATTATTCCTCTCATAATTACTCACATTTTTTTTTTTCATGTTAAATGGTTTTTCTCTCATTAACTATTCGATACCTTATTGTCGTGCGAACTGTTTTATCTCTTGGTTTTTTTACACTGTGATGCTGGAAAGGAGACCCAAATGAAAAAGGATGATCTCATGCATCTACACATGTTCTTAATAATTATCCTTAATTCTTTTTAAATTGTAGAAAATTTACCGCTCCCGTTGTTAAACAATTAATCGATTGGTGACAAGTACGAGATGCAATCGCAGAGAGATAAACTTTCTCGATATTAGAAAATACGTTTCTGGAGTCAAGAAAAATGTTTTCCTCTTGTTCAAGAGATTTCTGGAATTTGGGAAGTTCTCGCTCAGAAATGTTGTATAATGAAGAAAAAATTGTCTAGAGTCAATAAAATAGTTCTCTCGACTTCAAAAACTTCTTTTGAAGCACAAAGAAAGTTGTTTTCTCTGTGACGACTAAACCACCGAGCAATCGTATCCCTTCTTGCAGGAAAAATGTTATTGTACTCTTTCGCAACTATTTATTCCAAACCTCGTAATCGCCAAGACCGAATTTTCTTGTCCTGAACATAAGTGTTTATTGTACCCCGTCATTAATCCCTAGATCCCTCGGATATGTTTCAAATCTGAATATAAATATATCATTTTGCTCTGTCCATCCTCTCAGCTACGATTCCATTGAAACGATTTACTTACCGACAATTTGATTCATACTTTAGCCTGATCATTCAATTGTGCGTGAAATAAATTATGAAAACCCAAAGAACCACCTGAAATATATTCGTGATTTAATCCTCATGAATCAATCAAGTCTCCGTCATCTCGATCTTCCATTTCTTTACATAATCGTATATAAAACACACGTATACACACACGAATCAGAAATAGAAATGCATTTATTTCTCCAGCTGAAATCATCCTATTTCCGCAGTAAACATACGTTGTCACCAGAATTTTCCACTGTTCAATCGATAATCTATTGATTTAAATCTCTGATGATTCTCTTTACTCTGTAATATACAAATATATCGTTTAAATTTGTTTTCCCGTTATGACAACTGAAACAAGGTCTTGAATTAATTGATCCTTTAATTAAATTTCGCCGTCCCCTTTCTGTTCCACTAAGGGCCTCAGGGCGTCGATGAGACCGAAGGGGAAAAAATCCCCAAGTCCCTCGCACCCTCGTCATCGCGTTTACACTCGTAGAATATAATATATTATTCATTTATATTCATTACATTATCGTTATCATTAATATTTTACTATGTGTTGGTTTTTCCTTATTTTGTTTTCACTTATCAACTTGTTTACCTAAGTGTGTCAAGTTTGTTATTTTTTCCCCCCACGAATTTTTCCACTCCGTTCATACATTTTAATCACTCCCAAAGTATTTTCGCTCGTCTACCTACAATTTCTTTACAATCAGAATTAATCCCTCAAGATATCCAATCTCAACAAAAAAAAAATCTCGTGTTCACTCATTAATATATTAATAATCATTTCTGTCAAAATCGATAATAGTAATAATTAATAATAAATTCTTCATCTCAACTAAGTTATGTACAGAAATATTATACAGTTACACGAGTGACGTGATTTACCTCATTTTCAATAGTTCTCTTCCATTCATAACTTTTTTCTTTTTTGTTAAACATAACAGGGGGATTTCTTCGATCGAGTATGCGTGAGATTCGTTTTAATCTAACTGACGCAAGGCAGCGGTCATTCTTCCCATGGGTTTTTTACGAATGAATGAATCACTCGACTCGACTTCATCGAACCCCATGGACATTCACTTTAATCGTGTTTGGATGGTAAAGTTATCACGATCCCCTCGAAAACAACTGAAAAATTCAGCTCCACTGGGAGGAGAAATTCATTTTTATAATCAAGTTCATTTGCGAAAAAAAAAAAAAATTCACTGATGTTGGAGGAAAAATTCTTGGTGGTATGAAAGAAGTTTCTAAACTCAAGAAAACTCTCTCTTGATTCTAAAAACTTCTTTTCGAATATCACAAAACATTTTTTTTCACGAAACTGTATTCTTGCCACAAAACTTCGTCCGCCGATTAAAACGAAGTGAAACTTTCTTATAACAACAACGGATAATTGTCAGGATAACTCAATCGAGTACAAAATTATCAGTAAAGATTGTGAAAATCTTATTTTTACCCAGTTTCAGCACAATAAACAATAACACCAGTTATTGTATTGATAACAATTATTATTTGTCTTTTAGTATTCAACTACTAAAATAATTTAAATCGATTGCAATTTTATCAAATAATTCGAGTTCTTTCCGATAAAAACGAATACAGATTGTTGTAAAACTGCCCTCGGGATAAATAGATAATGAATAAAAATGCTAAATTGCACTTATCATCTTTTGCCACATTAATGCTGAATTATTGAATCATTGAACTTGATCCCGAAAATGGATTTTTCCCGACAGTACCCAGGAACTCGAACACGCCATTGACAAAAACAACGCAAGATCTATCAAACACTCTTCCAGTATAATCTAAAAAATTCAACGAATGATCATTCGTTCAATTACCTCATTTAACCCAATATTACAATAATATATGTTTACTTTGTACTATATATGATCTTAATCAGGCGATCGAAGCCGTGTCTCTATTATTTCATTTTTGGTACGATGAATTCTCTCTCTCACGCACTCCACGAAAAAAATTATTCTCTTTTGGTCTGATTTCACGAGTATTTCACATCTCCATATCGCTCTAAAGAGCATCATCGATATTCACGGGATTTAAAATGGTGGAGGAGAATTGTTGCATCCAATATGCCCAACGAAAAATCCCTTTTCCCAGGGAAAAAAAAAAGGGAATCTACTTAAACGTGAATAAAGATCAAAGTGAGGCACTAACTGCTGGACATTGAGAGTTTTAAATTGACAAAGATTGATCGACAGGTGGCTCATTCACAATTAACCACAGCATTATCGGCAATTACGGAATACAGGAGTAAAATTCGATTAATCCAGTGAACATCGATGACTCATCGAGATTTGTTTATTCATTAAGTCACTGTAATTACTCTACTCAACAACAAACGGCGCTTGTATCAATTATCGATTTTCTACTGATCCCCTGAAGTCCTCAGCTTCTCGAAAGAAAAAAATTCACCTATCTTTATTTACAAATGCACCAGCATCGTAGCACTGATGCCAGGGCTTCCTGGATTATCACTCACCGTAGCACAACTCAATTCTCCCACTGTCCTCCAGCCCCTGGTCCTCAACAACCCCTTCATCAGCGTCTGATAAATCATCACTTTGTACACTCGCACAGAAAAAAAACATCACGTGGCCTTTTATTAATCCCTGCCACTTGTTCTCTTCACCAACCGCGAGGAATTGACGAGTCACTTATTAGTTCATTATTTTCGTTGAAACTTGCTCCTGCTACTCATCGCAAGATAAATCATGGTCAACCCAAGCCCTCCAGAAAAAAAACAACAATTCACAGACAGAAGAAGTTTCTTGATGTTTCTACAGCTTAGAAGAAGAAATAAACTACAACAAGTTTTCACAATTCCAGAGTCAATAAAATCATTCTTCATTCAAGAAAAAGCTTTTTTCGAAGGGAAATGAAAAGAAAATGGTTTTCTTGGAGAAAAATTCATTTTCTAACGTCGAAATATATTTTTTTTTCGCATCATCAAGAAAGGTCTTTTTTCTGTAGTCTCAGAGAAGTAATAAACTCGATTACTATTGCTTGTCAAGCCTACGTGAAAAGCCTCCAATTAACCGTAATTTTGACTAGAATGTTCACCCCCTGGGGAAACGAATAAAGATAATATCTCGACTAGAGGATCAACCATAAAATGATTAATAAAAAAAAAACATCTCAACAGCTTAATCTAAAACTGGCGAATTATGGCACTAACCGAGGAGAGATGAAGTGCTTGGAATAATAAATCTCGTGTAAGTAGTAGTTCCGCCGATGCCGTCAGGCAGTTAAAACCCCCAGTGCATTGGTTTTCCCCACAAAAACGCCAAAAATCGGATTCACCTGTTCCTCATATTTGTTTAAATATGTCAGACTGACTCCGTATACTTGAAATGGCGAATGAAAATTGAAATGCAAGTCCAACTGCACTCTGATATCGATTCGGCGTCGAATTGAAAACCGAGAAGGAAAACAATGGACGGGCATCGGCGTGCAGTTTTACCCCGTGTTCAACGAAATAATTTACGAGAAGGCAAGATCCTCCTCGGGCGACTCGTCGTGGTATTCCTCGTGGTCAGACGTATGTCACAAAACATCGGTCGCCTGGCGTGGACTTATACCGAGGCTCGGCGATAGTTGGCCCTCGTCCACACCTGGATTTTTCGGGTCCTCGTCCTTCCATTTATCCATTGAACGACGTCTTGCGTTCATGAAGAAATTACCAACTGTCGTTGGCTCGAGGCCCAATTGCCTGGCGATTGTCACCTGCATCTCCTTCGACGGTCTCTTTGTTTCCTGAAAATTTGACGAGTGTCAATTATGGGAGACATCGGGAGATGAGATTGTGTTGGCTTAAAGTGCAAGAGCCATTTTTTCTTATTATTGTCGTATGGTCTGAGGGATTTTAGGAGTTCACTGGGAAAAATTTCGTCCATCTCGATTTTTTTATGGGTAAATTATATTTTATTAGAAAATTGTTTCAATTCAGAGAAATAACATTTTGGATGTCAGGAACAATCGATATTATTCATTTTCACAGAAATAGTGCTGGGAAAATTATTAAATGCCCCCACGTCAAATTACGATGAACCAAGAATTAAGAAAAATTTCAATACTGTGAATGTTAATGCAATACCGATTTCAATCTCTCACGAAATATCTTATTTATCCAGACGTTATAATAAAATAAAAAAATTCACGATAAAAAATAAATTGGAATTCAACGTTGCCCTAAATTCTCGAAATGATCATGAAAATTGAATAACCCATTCAATTAAATCACCTGCGAATTCAGAATTCACCGATATATAATCAGTTTTCGAATTTATCAGCAACTCAAAGATTCTTCGATAAAACCCTGGATTGAAAAAAAAAATTCGCGGGATTCCACTTGAAAAATTGATGTTTCCCGAAAACTCGCGGCTTAAAGCGGAAACATCGAAGAACATTTCCCAGCTGTTAAAATTTCCGACCAGAAAGGTTCTGTGGTCATTTATCCACAAAATTAATAGTTAATGTGATTAATCAATATTTAGGAAAATAGTGAAATTCTATTGATCTGCCTTTACGATTTGCCAACGGAATTTATTTTGCCGGTACTATTTCAGGGGTGAGAGAGTCTTGGGGTGAAATTCTACTAGGACAATAGAGGGCTAGGGCTAAACTAGGCCCATAAAATGGCGACTAGCACCAGCTCAACAATAGTGCAACTGAAATGCTGGGTGTAGGCTAAAGAGCTAGTCGCGAAATTATTCAGAACCGATCGATAGTTCGACTCTTGGCTTGACGCGAGAGGCACGATTCAAGTGGTAGCACTACTCCCCGACTATTTCTCTCTGTTTTCCCATTATTTTCTCCATACCCAATCCCCTTTCCACCTGTATACTTTTATTCACATCCTGGAGCATGAGTTGTGCCTCCAGGATGAGGTATTATTAGCTGTCTCCAGTTGAAGGTAAATCAGAGCACTCGGCTGATTTGCAACGTATTTCGTTATTCAGACGTAACCAGCCTAGTTTCCAAGTTTTCCCCCTCCGTGAGAATATTTCAGGCTCATTTTACGAAATTTCTTATATCCCCCGCAGCACTGGCAATCAATGCACGTGCATTTTTCATGCGAATCAATTAAGAGCGAAAGTTCAATTAATTCTGGTTCACTCCAAATACTGGTCACTCCGAAGCTGACTGAAATTCAGGGAATTTTAGCTGGTACACCTTCCAGTTTTAAATATTTTAATTAACGCTAAAGCTCGCTATTTTTTCCAGTGGAATTTATAGATATTTTCAGCAGGCTTTTTTGAAAACGCCAAAAAAATAAAAGAACCGGGGAACCGTAACAAAAGTGGAAAATTTTTTTAAGAAATGGCAACAAAGGGGTCCGGAAATTATAATGAACAAAAGCAAACAACCCCAACCCCCCCCCGCCAACCGAAAATCAAAGAAATCAAAACAAAATCAAAAAAAAAAAAAAATTAATTTTTCGATTTTATTTTTTACGGAATTCAATTGGTAACGTACGAAACACCGGATTGTTAGCATCCTGTAGCCGAAAGGTATTAGACTGGGAAAACGGAAAGATACGCGAAAACAGAAATTGAGGAGAGGTGCGACTATAACGGGATTCTACTGCAAACTCATACACGCGGATTCCACAAGCCACGATGATCACTTGCATGCTCGGGATAATCCACTTGAGCATTGTTTAGGAATTGTGTGCGTGCAACAGGTGATGAGAATTTCGGGGACTCTCCAGCAGAGAACAAATACGAAAAATCGATTTTCCCTGCAATCCGTGTATCACCGTACCCAGTGTCTACCCCTCTCTCATTTACGCAAGTAAACTCTGTGAGGGAGGAGGGAATGGGGGTGGGTAATGAGTGATGAGACAGGAGAGGAATAGCAGATAACGAGGGGTGAATAGAGGACTCACTTTAAAAATAGCCTGTAGAGTACGGCGCTGAAGGTCTGTGAAAACCAACCGCGGTTTCTTGGGGGCGGGCTGCTGGTGTTCTGCCTGGCTCGCCATCTCGTCTTTCCTCTTGCAAGCTGTAATTATCATTTTTTAAATCACTATTAGTCACGATACCCCACAAATCCCTTAACTAGACTAATTGAACTCAGTGTTAACTTAAAACCAAGTCGTGATCTTCGATAACTCGACATTTTTTAATCAGTCAATATTTATGAAAAATCAACGCCACTCGTTGATTATTCAAGTACGCAGAGAAAAAAGCTTTTATTTTTGGATGTGGCACCCTCGACATCGGGGATTTTGTCACGGAAAGCCCGAGTTTTTGTGGAAAACTAAAATCATTAAATAAAGATTGATTTCAGAAATTGTAACAACGATTTGATTATGTATTTATTGTTAATAATTCAGTAGATTCTGCAAAAGCTCGAGCTTAATGAACGAGCTAAATGATATGGAAGTGAGTAAATTATTTACTCGTGTTGCTTGAAATTGATTAAAGATGGAGATTGCTTAATTAAAAATAGTGACAAAATCCCTTAGTTTATCCTCTGACTGCCTGAATTTGAAAATTGTGCATAAACATCAAAATTTCTCTGTGTAATCAAGTAATTGAATGGGACTACTTACTTCCTCGTTGTGGAATCTGTGCAGCTGAAAACAGAAAAATAACTCGTATGATTAAAATGCCTCAACGAATCTCCGTTACAATCTCCGTAATGTATGTTTTTGTTTTATGATTATTGGTATATCATCGGGCAACTTCGGCATAAATACAAATACACATTAAGAAACATAACATGTACAGTCATTAGAAAGAACTGGGTTGCATATAAAAACGAATCCCAACTTGAAAACTACAGTCATTAACATTTCACTAAGAGGTATTGCTGTAGAGAGGGTTGAGGGGGGTTGAGGGTTTCAGACCGTGTTACATGTTACATGTACTGTGATTATTATTTATAATGTTGAGTGTCTGGATATGCTGACATTGTAAATGTTGATGTCTCTCTCTGAAAAAATGAAAAAATAAAGAAAAAACGCTAAGCGTCACTCGAGTCATTGATTAATTCCCTGATTGAAATGTCGAATTGATCTAATAGACTGCGTCAGAAGGATACCTCAGGATTTTTATTGAAATGTCCGGTTGTCCCTTTACGTTTACTTGCGAAAAACAGGATTCTCCATTAGCACGAGTCACTTCCCCGCAAATTGAGTGTCACACCGATTTCTATTGTACGACGATTAGCGAGTGGAAAAGCTCGACTGCACATTCGTGGGTGGAGATATTTTTTTTGGTGAAAATTCCAGTGCTGCCAAGGGAGATACTCTTTACCAAAAGGAAGGGGATGAATGGAAGAAATAAAAACGAGGCGAGAGCTAAACGCGAATGCAATCCGCACGCCATTTACCCTAAACTCTCGCGTGGACTTTGCGACGAAAAAAAAAAAAAAAATTGGCCGCGTTGGATGAAAAATGGGGGTTGAGGGGTTGAACGGAAAAGGGAAAGAGATTACAAAGAGAAAGTTCGGATGGACAGCGGGGGAATTGATCTGTCCATTATTGCCATGAATTTAAACTGAAAAAATATTTTCCTTTTGCGGGAGAAAAAAAGAATTAACATAGCAGTGGATTTAAAATGCAAAGGGGGTGGAAATCCGAGGGAAAATTGTTTTTATTGAAATTCAAAGCAATAGCGAAATGTGCGTGGGGAAATTCCGGGAATAAAATCATCGGAAATCTTTTTTTTTTATTGAAGAATTATTGTCGACTGCAGCTGATTGAGAAGTTAATTGAATACGTTTGATTATCTCCACAATAAATGGAATTAAATCGCCAACTGGCTTTTTCGAGAATCCACAAATAATTTTTCTACACGAGCTGGTGAATCGGGGAGAAAGGGTATGTCGAGGGTAAAAAATAGAAGACTGGAATAAACTAGAAAAGGCAGAGTGGTATTTTTACATAAATAACAGAACTGAAAATGGAATTTGATGATGAATTTTGTTAATTGATAGTTGAATTGGATGGGATTTGATTGGATTGACGAAATTTATTGAAGCTGGATGAGGGAATTTTAAAATGCAAACAGATAGATTGGAAATAAATAACGGTGTGTTCCTTTGAAAAGGAAAAAAGGGTAAAAAGGGAGGTATGATGGAGAGACGGAGGGACCACAAGCCACTCTGTTTAGAATAACTCAAAAACGATTGGAGCAGGGTTTGTTGCCACAGACGGGAATGTACGAGCGTCACGTGCTTCCAATAGCCGACGTTCCATGCAACCCACATCCCACCCCCCATTCCACCCGACCACCCCCACCGTAACCGTACACAATATTATAAAACACAAAACACGTCGTACTGAGGTTTTGAAGGATTTTTCAAAAAGTTCCACCGTCGTCCAACACCGGGCTTTGACACGGACACCACCTCCACGGTTTAGTCTTGAGGGACAGACATAATTTCTTAGGGATTTCCCCAGGATTTATAGAGGTGATTCGGCTTTATTGCGAACTGCTCCTAGAGTTACGTTTCACCCACAACTCGCGTTATAAATTTCTCCCCTTTACCCCGTTTTATCTCATTTTTTTTCTTCTTGGTGAAACAATTTTATCAGCAGTCGTTTGAACCCATATTCCCGGAGATTTTTCAGCTTTGAGGATTGCAAAGTACCACTTGCTCGCCAGTGAAATTGCTTTTTCCAATGGAATAATTTCGACATTTTTTGTGGATTTTATCACTGATACGATATTCGAGAGCGGTCTAATGACAGAAATTAGTTGTTAATTACACTGTTTATGGTTTAAAGAATATTTTTACTATATTTTCAGAAAGAAATTGAGGAAATTCTCTGAGAATTTTTAGAATTCCTGGGATTCTTTGTGAAATCATTGAAAATTGAAGGGAATATTCATTTTTACTTTCAAATCCATCTGAATTTTGAACAGTGTAATTAAGGACAATGTAACAATCGACTGATTTCCCTTTACTATTCCATATTTTCACCAATCCGTGCCGAAAATCTTCTAAAGCCCAGATATTGAATAATCGATGAAACATCGCACCATCTCTCCGAGAAAATTTGGATTAATTTTGCAATTATAAATTATCTCATTACTATCCTTTTGCATTTGAATAATTAATCAGCAGTGTAACGAGTGGAAATTTATTCGCAAAGTACTTCATTGCTCACGAGATCACCCTATGAGTAATTTATAGTCTTAATTCGATAAAGCGCCTTGAAGATTAAATCATCAGAAATAAGTACGTGTGTCAGAGAGAATGTGACATCAGAGTTATGAATTCTGTTGGTGAATCAATAACGTTTAAATGATCCTTGTGTTGGTGTAACGTATTCATGCTCATGTCTGATAAAAGGGGATTATCTAAGAGACGGGTTTTTAAGTCTAGGGGTGGGTTTAAATCTACCTGTTAACATGACCTTATTGTATCCTTTTTGGTTTATCTCAACAACTATTTTTAATAAATCAGTCGGAGTATACAGAGGCGGGGTGGAGATCTGCCAGGAATATTAATCCACATTTTTATCATCATTTATTGTTTGTACTATCGCAGCAAGATGCTCACGTTTGTCGTAACGACAGCATTTGCCAATTTTCCCCATTTTCTCACTGCCCCTTCACTTTCAATTTCTTCAAATTTATCGCCAAAATTCGACAAAGATGAGTTGTATGAAGCGTTGAATATTAAAATTTCATTAATTATCAGAGAGATAATTATTAATTCAGAGAATCCACTCAATACTCAATCGTGGCTGTTCAAAATTTCATGAGTTATTACAAAAAATTTGAGGATAAATTCTGAAATTAGAGTTTGACATGTGAAAAATAAACTTGAATAAAATTTTATTAAAAAAATATCGATTTAATCTGAAAACATTAAAGAACTTTTCTGCAGCTGATGAAATTGCCGGCAAAAATGGTTTCTTAATATTTTCTAATAATGTTTTTTTTAAAAAAAAAAACATTATGAGGATTTTATTCTGAAATAATGTAATTCTCAGTAGACATGGCATTAGTACAGTGTTATTAATAGAATTCTGGAAGATTGTCAATAATAATAAATGAAGAATACACATTAGTCTCTGCACATGGCTCCTGAATTTGTCAAAATATTAGCGAATAGATTGAAGAGTGAGGGGGCAGCTGAAGTAGACGGGTAAATCCTTCTCAAATAATCTCCTGGATAGTATTAGTCTGGTAAAAATGCTGGCCATGCATCTACAATGGTTTTCAGCCCGGTGGCGTTTTATTGAGAAGAAAGTTGTCTCTACGACCGTACACATGTCATCCCCCCCCTCTTTTTGCTTAAATCTCTCAACCGAATCCCAGGCGTTCATCCTCAATGTTTCAGTCGCAAAATAGTCAGACACAGTTAAGTTATAATAATTAACATAATGATAAACGAAATCGTGGTGATTGACTTGAATTTTGGATGGCGATCGACGAAACGAGGATGAGATCGATCTGAACAATCGTAAGACCCGATTAAATCCTGAGTTACACATAGCTCCACACTAAATTCATACTTCCACCACTATTTACTCAGGATCTAGAATCGAGCACTTTCTTGGCACGAGTATAGAGGGTTCTCGTACGACGACACGGAATTTATTCTTAGTTCGTTATTGATTTTCGAGAGCCAATGGCGAATCGAATGTGGGTCGGCGGTGGTGAGTTTCCAGGCGAGAGAGGGAGTGAAACACCCCAGCGGGAGGGAGTGAAAGAGGTTGGATTGAGGGTGTGAGAGCGGATGAGACTCGACACTGAAAATGAAGTTTGTCTCGATAAAGGTGCGAGAGCAGTGAGGTAGATATAAACGTTAGCGTGATCTCTCTGTAGCACAAAGCGAAACGACCCGGATGAATTTTCGGTACAGTGTATGAGCCTCTCAACCCCTCGGGAGTGTATAACCACTCTTGCCTGGGGGTAAGAGTGCCGCGAAAATCTGCCAACAGCTGACAGATCAACGGAAACGAGGAAAATAATCGCGGGATCTAGTGCATGCGGGAAAATCAGGGGATTCGTTAGTCCAGGCCATCGCCATCATCATCATCATCATCATCACCATCATCATCATCAATCAAAAATCATTCTCCATGTATAAATAAAATAGTGAAATTATAACTGGAATTTTGGCAAATATCGATTGATTGATCCGATAAAAAAATTAATTCACAGAGGAAAAATCAAAAAAGGCCTTTCATCTAGAACCCAAAAATGTTTTTAAAAATGGGTCAATTAAAAGATTGAAATGGTAGAAAGTATCTGTCGGAGAATGGGTGGTAATTAAGCAACATGAATTGAGAGAAAAATAATGGAAAGTAAATATTAGTGGAACGGTTGATTGAGCAGCGACGCCACCGCCCGGAAGTTTAAAAAAGCCGGAAATGAAGTCGTTGAAGTGACTGGTGGGAGGAAAAAAAAAAGTGTAAAGGGGGAGGGAAGAGGAGGTGAGACAGAACAAAGAGTGCGTGCAGATCTAGGGCTTCGGGTGGATTTTAATGGGAGTATTCGAGTTTCGTAGGACACTGACCCCTCTCGCCTCTCACGTAACTTCAACCCCTTAAGAAAATATGGAGGAAATGAGGATGAATAAAGGATACCATTGTCCTCTCAACCTGATTACCCG